TCTATATCCATGATGTTTTATCTGCATGGATGCCTAAAAAGACATGAAGAATGACAATACCAAGGAAGGGGAAGACATCACAAGTTTTCACCCCTAGAAAAGAACTACAGGCAGGCACGGACTACTGAGATAGAACTAGTCTTCCATTGGGGTGAGCCCCCAATTGATTCTCTAATGTAATGTGGTCCCCCTCAAAATATATCCTAGAACATTAAACACACTTGACATGTTGCATTTACGTATTTATGCATATATGTAATAACAATTAAAGTAAGAGAAGCAGTGAGTTTGAGAAGGAGCAGAGAAATATGGCAGGAATTGGAGGGAAGTGTGAGTGGGAAATTATATAATTAAATATTAATTTAGCAAAAAGAGAAAACCTGGATAAGGATTTCCTACAGAAATGATTCCTGTGAAAGATAAAGAGTTAATGTAACTGGAGTATGTGATCAAAGAATGCCATCCATAAAGATAAAAGCAGATGTTTTACCAGGAGCTCTCAGGAGGCCATGACATTGCTGTTGCTAATGGTTACAGTGACACTGGATATTTTCAATAGGAGTAGGAAAAAACATGGCAGGTGGGAGACATTGCGGAGATTTCAAGCATTGGTCACTGCGGGAAAAGGAAGGATATTACATTTCAGAGAAATATTAAATTTGAGTAAAGGCTTGAATCTAGTTTTGGATGAATTTGGCATTCTGTGGAAGAACAGAGTGGTTACTGTTGTATCTTTTGGTCTTGAATGGGCAAGTAAACAGACAAACACCCATGTGAACAGATCAGGAAACATACCTATAGGGTTGTGTGTAGCTGACAGGCCATTTAGAAACAGGTCCTGACCATGTGGAATGTTTTGACAAGTGAGGCCAGGGCTATGAGTTGTGGAGCTAGCTTGCTGCGTATGAGTAGAATGGTGAAAGTTCAAGAGAAGCAAAGCCTTGTGGATAAGCAAAGTCGTAATCTATAAATATCTGAACAGATATAATATAAACACTACCCTTAATTTTAGTGGCAGTAAAATACAACCCAACATAAAGTTCTAACATAAACTGCTCCAGGACACTCCTAATAATATTCTTTATTGATTTTTTCCCTTTTGTTAACCTCTACCATAATAATGTGTGATGATTCATGTTGAATTTCAATTTTCCAGCATTTAGAATCACAAAAGACAAGCCTTTGGGCAAAGTGTTTGTGAGGGATTTTCTTAATTATGTTAGCTGAAATGAGAATGCCTATCTTAATATGGTTGGCAACAGTCTATGGTTTGAGGTTCTATTTTTTTTTTCAGATATTTTGATCATGCTTCCCACCTCCTCCTGTTCCTTCCCATCTCCTTACCCACTCAACTTCTCCCTCTCTCCTCTCTCTCTCTCTCTCTCTCTCTCTCTCTCTCTCTCTCTCTCTCTCAAACACACACACACACACACACACACGTGTGTACACACACACACACCAAAAAGAAAACCCAATCTATGTTTTTGTGTTGCCCACTGCTGGACATAGCCTACACTAGATTATGGTTGATATAAGCAGTGTCACCCCATTAAAATGGCTTCTTGGTCAGTTGTGGGATTCAGTGTTCCCTTCCCCTCTCAGTGCTGAGACCTTGCCTGTCTTCCACCTACCTCTGTGCTGCCACAGTCTCTGAGTTGACATGTGCGTCAGTGTTGTTTTGTCTGGAATATACTGTATCCTTGGTGCCATCCAGCATCTCTGTATCTTACATTCTTTCTTCCTCTGCTTCACATAGACCCCTGAGCCTTAAGGGGAGGGGTTTGATGAAGACATCCCATTTAGGAATGAGTGCTGCAAAATCTTCACACTATCCAGTTTGGGTCTCTTTGTTAATTATTGTTCACTGCAAAAGAGAAGTTTCTGTGATACAGGTTGAGCAATGCCCTCATCAATAGGTATAGCACTATGTCAGTGGAGATATAACACTGAGATAGAAAACAGCAGTTTTCTATCTTTTTTTTTCTTTTCTCAACACTACACCTAGAAGCACATGCATTTACATATGGCTCATTGAGAGACTTTATTAATAACCTGGATGTCTTCATAGTACAGGGACCAGAATGACAAGTGATACAAAGTGATGAGTGTATGTGAGAGTCTTACAGATTCAGCCAGAGAAGAAAAGATTGAGAGGATAGCCATAACAGTGATCTTTAAATACTTTAAATTCATTATAGCTAGTGTTCAGTTATGCCCCTTAACTCCAAAAGATACAGTGAAATCCTGGTCTGTATTATCTCAGACAGTGGCTTTCTTTGTATACATGTTCTTTACATTTTTGTCTTATGTGTATGACTTTTTTCCTGAATATATTTCTGTATATTGTACATATCTTGTGCCTGGGGAGGCCAAGAGAAGGCACAGATCCCCTGGAACTGGAATTATAGACAGTTCTAAGCCACTGCCACATGGGTGCTGGGAATCCAACCCAGGTCCTCTTAAAAAGCAGCTGGTACTTTTAGTCACTGAGTCTTCTTTCCATCTCTTTGGACATGGGGTCACTGAAGATGGAATTTGTGGTGATGATGTTAAACTGTACTAGGGTGAACCTGTAACCCCATATGAATATGATCTTGTAAGATGACTGGGCAAAGATCTAGACAAGGGAGAGAGTCATGAGATCACTGATGCAGAGATTGGAATTACACATATAAGGTATGCAGATTAGACCACAAAAAGCTAGGAGAAAGCAAGGGAGATCTTCCATACAGGCTTGGGGGCTAGCAGGACTAACTGCATGTTCTTTTCTAGGTCTAAGTCACATAGTTTTGTAGAAGTTAAGCTTTGGTTCTTCCTCCCAGTCCCTCCCAGAAATAAGACTCAGACTCAAAATATATTTGCAAATACCTTGGCCATATAGGTAGGCTCTAATCTGACTAAATCATAACTAAAATGACCCAATTATTTTAACCTCCATTTTGCCATGTGGCTGGCATGCATCCTTTTCCTCATGTCTTTTCCCCTGGACTCTATCCTAGAATTCTTTCTTTTTTTAAATTTATTTTATTGTATTGTATTGGATATTTTTTATTTACATTTCAAATATAATCCCCTTTCCTGGTTGCCCCCCCCCCACTGAAACTCCCTATCCCACCCCTGTCCCCTGCAGGGGTATTCGTCCACCCACTCACTCACCCCCTGCCTCCCCGCCCTCGAATTCCCCTTCACTGGGGCATCAAGCCTTTACAGGACCAAGGACCTCTCCTTCCATTGATGCCCAACAAGGCCATCCTCTGCTACATATGTGGATGGAACCATGGATCACTCCTTGTGTACTCCTTGGTTGGTAGTTTAGTACCTGGGAGCTCTGGGGGGGTCTGGTTGGTTGATATTATTGTTCTTCCTATGGGGTTGCGAACCCCTTCAGCTCCTTCAGTTTTCTCTAACTCCTCCACTGGGGACTCCATTGGGGATGCCGTGCTCAGTCCAATAGTTGAATTGTGAGCATCCCCTCTGTATTTGTCAGGCTCTAACAGAGCCTCTCGGGAGACAGCTATATCCGGTTCCTGTCAGCATGCATTTCTTGGTTTCCACAATAGTGTCTGGGTTTGGTAACAGAATTCTTTTTCCTAACGGATGTTCCACCTCTATTTTCTGCTTTAGCCATGGGCCATAGGCTTTCTAATTGACAGGCAATGCACTCATACAATACACAAGATATTCACTCTACAGTAGATGATTGTCAAAAATAAGTTCTTACTCAGACACTTAAATTTAACAAGGTGATTTTATTTCTATGCCATTACTTAAGGTTTCCAATCACAGCATCATTTCCATGACAACCCTAGCAGGTTAAGGATACCCTGGAAACACAATCACAGTTCCATTTACTGAAAATCATTAGCAGATGAAGCTAGCACTGTGTGCAGTCATAGATTCTGAAACTGGTAGTTTTGAAATTTGTATGTGTCAAACAGGTGGAGGGCACAGTGTGTAGTAATTGATATTCTTTCTGTAAAAACCAGTTGAGCGGGCTAGCACAGCATTAAAGAAGGAAGGTTCCACAGTATGGTAAGGAGGCCAACCAGGTCAGATTTCAGCATGATGTTCAGAGGGCATCAAGAGTAATAAAGAGAGGATTGGAGCCTAGAATATAAATTTACTCTATTATAACCTCTTCATTTTCAAAAACGAAGGCAAGCTTCGTGGGTAAGGACACAATTACCACTTGCAATTTACTACTTTTCATACTTTGTGAGTATTTAAAAGTTCCAACAAATATCTTTGTCTCAACTTTCTTACACAAAAATATTCCTGATGTCTTCCTGTAAGATTTGCCCAAATAGCACAATATAAGTACATGAACTAAATATTTGGCTAAGTATTTGGCAAAAGTTGAGGTTGAGTAATGGGTGGGTAGTAGAAGGCTGTTTTGTTTGTTTGTTTCTTTGTTTGTCTCTCCAATAGTTAATATTTTCTTCTCCTGGTTGTCCATAATGCAATTTGTGGGGAGACATGGATCAAAGCCACGAGTGAGGTGATCACAAGGGTTCTTTGAAGATTACTAATTCTAATCCTCCTCGTTCAACTCTGACTCATCAATTTTTTATTTTAATTTTGGCAGAGTTTTATTATGTAGCCCTGACTGACTTGGACCTCACTGTGTAAACCAGGCTAATCTCAAACTCACAGAGAGCTGCCTACCTCTGCCTCCCAAGGCTAAGATTAAGAACATGTGCTACTATACCTAGCCCAAGAACTATTTCTTGATATTTTTCTACATACTGAGTACTAAGGTAATAGAAAAATCAATCAGAAGCTGCTCTTTGACTTGACATACAACTCAAGAAGTAAACAGAACAGCCATATGAATAGAAAATACAGGTGTTGGGTCAGTGAACCACAGATTCCAAATTCCCAGATATTAATGGATGGACAGACAGCAGCACAGCTTTAAACACACATGTGTGGGTTTTTCAGCACATGTGTATGGACTTCGAAGTCATGTTAATTCCTATCCCTTTTTCTTTCTCTGTCAGTCTGTGTGGCAGTGTGGAAGAACCACCACATGAGGACAGTCACCAACTACTTCATAGTCAACCTTTCCCTGGCAGACGTGCTTGTGACCATCACCTGCCTTCCAGCCACTCTCGTTGTTGATATCACTGAGACCTGGTTCTTTGGACAGTCCCTCTGTAAGGTCATTCCTTATTTACAGGTAATTCTTCTTTAAACTCTTTTACATGTTCTGAGCCTTTTTACATGTTTTTAATTAATGACATTACGGTCTGGTAAAATAGTTAATTAGTTAATAAATAAATATAGATATTCAGGAAGTAAACAATTTAAGGATGATAATACTTGAGAATTACTGAATAAATCATGCCTGGATAAAATTGAGGCAGTAATGCTGTTAATTATTTCACAGTCGTCATCATAAAATAGATGATTTGAACAAACTAATGATTAAGACAATCCTAGCTCAAATAATCATGAACATTTATTTTTCAATAATCAGTATATCAGGTTTTCTTAATGATTTCTTTTCTTCCTGAAAAATTGAGAGGTATGTGGTCAGTGAAGGGCAACTTTGGACATCAGTTCTGGTTTGGAATGTCAGTTCTGCCATCTCTAGATGGCACACTATTAAGTAAAATACATAGACTCTTGGCACTCACTTACCCAAAATGGTAATTATAGTAAGATCCACCTCAGATAGTGGTTGTGACAGATTATTAGATCATTTACGTAAGTCTCTTGGCTATGTGATTACCTAATCATGATCTTACAAAGCGATGCATCATTTTTCTGTCTAGCGCAACTTATGAGCAAGTTCTAAATGACAAGGGTCAAAGGGAGATTCTTGCTCCCAGATAAAGAGTGTCCAGCTTATCCATCGCCACAAGAGAAAAATTAATGTGGAAACAAACTGTACCCATCACTTATCTCATTCACCTCAACCTCTTGTTAGAAGCATGCAAGTGCATCAAGAAATTCATGTGCTAGCAAAACCAGTCTTCACCTCCTTACCTTTTCCCTTGTGTTTCAGGGGCACAGAGGCACAGTGATAGTACTTTCATTTCAAGTCCAGTATTTTTTCTTCTAGTTGACACAGCCTAACACTAATTGCTTTTTATCCCTAATGCACGACTTAAATATTTTGTATACATGTATATAATACACTTTCTATGTACTGAAGCTACACAGGAGTTGTAGGTTGTATTTAGCTTTTACTAATTTGAAACGATTTACATGTTGTTTTTCTTCTAAAACAATACATCTTAGATTTATGAGTAATATTCTATAATACTTTGACAAATTCTTAAATTGTTTAAGAATCTTATAAATGGAAAAAAATCAACTTAATAATTAAAATAGGCCTCTTAGATCTTTAATAATTTGCAGTTCCATGACCAATAACATCTATCCTTGGTAAGCAACCATTATATACTTTATTCACTAATAGTGACTGGAGTAATTGATTCTTTTAAAATATTTTTACAATACATAATGTTTCAGAAGAGGCCCATAACAGGAAATGGCAGGAAAAGAACAAATGAATGAGAGTGGGTAACTGGCAGTGGACAGGCAGACAGACTTGACTGTTTGTTCCAGTTATATCTTACATCCTCCTGTCCCAATAGGCCCTATCACCCACACTCATGTCTAGTCATAGGTCTTTGAGAACTTTCTGGAACATCTATATGTAATAATTAAAAAGTCCCCTCAGGCTTTACCTTCTGAATGAAATACCCAGAATATATATGAAGGACCAAGATACCCAAAGGCAGAAATTCCCAACATCTCTTTCTACTGTCTGTATTCACAATATTTACAGTTCACTTCTAAGTTCTAGGTTCAGGCTGACATGAGAGGTGGGAAGGAAAGAGGGAGGGAGGGTAAGAGAAAGAGAGGAATCACAATCACTCATAATAAGATGCAATTTTATGTTTTGCAAGAATATCTTATAAAGTTGATGCTAATTACACACTAAATGCACTTAAGACATTGACAGACATAGGAACTGAAATAAATCATTGGTTGACAAAGCCCACTCAATGGATTCTACTGTCAGATTCAACAGTTTTCCATGTTAGAAATAGACCAGTATAACTTTTCACCTTATGTACACCAAAGAAAGCAACACATCCAGTTTGATTCTGGAACTGAATGTCAGTCTTTGAAGTAAATTTATATGAATTGATCGTTACAGTTTATTAGTTGTGAAACATACTAGAAATAACATTTGAATTTGAGCCATGTTGCTTTCATTTCACCCACCAGGCTGATCAGAATACATGAATAACAAATTGAGAGGCCTTGATGGACATCTGCACTTCTAATTGCTGGAAGAAATAAACATAGCCTTGTCCCAGCAGTCATAAAACAGCAGCCCTACAGATCTAGACAATTCGTTTGCTACCCACGTTAAAAGTGGAATCTGGGGACTAAGGTCCTTGGCTTCCGAAACATAAAGAGAAAGAGGTTGTGGGGAGCAGGGAATTCACTAAAAGAAATTTGAAGGTGTCTAAACTTCTCAACAGTCATCAATTAACATAAGATTAACTTATAAAAAAATTACCCTCCAAGAGTTGAGAAAATCTATGGGTTTAGTTAGATTATCTATGAGTAGTTTTTCTTGAAAACCCTAAGTAAGATGATAAATATAGTATCATGAATAATATCATCATTTTAAATATAATGAATAAAAGAAAATACACAGGACTTGTGTGGAAGCCTTGAGTTAGACATTTTGCATCTCAATTAATTCTACAATCCTATTTAATCAATGCTTCATCCAGAACAGAATCATGTATTAAAGACAGGTCCATATATTAATTATGTGGGAACCAACAGGGTTGAAATGTTTATTTCTTTCCATTTCCAAAATGAAGAATCACTTGTGATGTTGTTATTTACATACAAGTCTGTACTAGGAGGACCTTCTTTTTTTTAGGAAGAAGTTACTAATTCTGTCAGTGAGTAAACTATAGCACACATACTCACATACAGAATTCTCTTTTAATGCGATTTAGGCTTTTATTTGTTCCAATATATTGAAAATCATTGATACAAAGTGCTCTTTTTTTTTAATTTAAAAATAAGAAATAAGATACCCATGACTTATCTACAATAATGAAATGTAACATGTGAAAGCCTACATGGTAACTTAAAATGCACAATACTATGTCATTAGGGTTGAAAAAGAATTTTCAGCTGCAGAAGAACACATGTATAATTTCTTTTCCTCGGAGGGAGAATAAACACTACTTACCCTGGCAGTACAAAAGCTGCAAAACAAAGTAAAGATAGGAATTATTCAAACATGATAAACTTAGCATTTAGTGTGAGAAAACTGCAAAGTTTCAAAACACCTACTACTTCACATCTGAAAGGAAATAGGAAATACAAAGTTTCCTCACTTGCTCCTACATTTCTACTTTCATTATTACTTAACACAAAAAATATTTTTGTGAATTAATACATAGAGCAGGCCACCCTGAATGCCATCTTTCCTGATGCATCAAATGTTCTCAAGGTACCTTTCAGACACCTAGTAATTCTCTTGACTCATGTTCCTTTCTTCTCCCTCTAGACTGTGTCAGTGTCTGTGTCTGTTCTTACATTGAGCTGCATTGCCTTGGACCGATGGTACGCCATTTGCCACCCTTTGATGTTCAAGAGCACAGCCAAACGGGCTCGAAACAGCATTGTTGTCATCTGGATCGTCTCCTGCATCATAATGATTCCTCAAGCCATTGTCATGGAGTGTAGCAGCATGCTCCCTGGCCTAGCCAATAAGACCACCCTCTTTACAGTATGTGATGAACACTGGGGCGGTAAGTAGGCTTCATCCATGTGTTCACCTTGACATGGTAGTGGCAAATATTGGATCAGCATCTTTGCTAAATTGGTCTTATACACTTTACTAACATACATTTAAAAGAGCTCAGCAAAGGGGTGAAAATAAAGTTGAAACGCACAATTTGCATAAATTATTTAAGTCCTTTGGATATGCTTTATGAACAATTTTTAATTTTCGTGTTTTTTACAGTAAAAATGAATCTAGGAGTTTATTCAATGACTCATTTTTAATTATTATAGTTTTAAAACAACTAGTCAATGAAACAAATCGAATTCCAAATTAATAGTTTATTAAAATCATTATGAAAGCTTTCTCAAAAGCTAAATATAGAGATTATATATAACCTAGTTTTCTCACTCCTGGACATAAACCTGAAGGACTCAGTATTTTATTTCAGAGATACTGAGCATCTATGTTTATTCTTACTCTACTCATAATATTAAATAAAACCATAATCAGCATAGACATGTAAGAAAGTGTAATACATATTACAATGGAATTTTATCCCACCATAAAGAAAAATAAAATATTCAGGGAAAATGAATGGAGATAGAAAATATTACATGGAGTAAACACAGGCTAGGAAACACAACTGCTACATGTGCTCTCTCATGTGTGTATCTTAGCATTTAATTTTTTAAATGTGAATTTACATGCAAATAAAGCAAAGCAGATACCAAAAAACTAGAAAGGGCCCTGTGAGAGGGGAAGAAAAAACAGTATGTTAAGGATGAGTTGTAGGAAGAGTAATAGAACACACATATCTTAAAGGTCTATTTTCAGTTTTCTTAGAGGATCTCAGTATCACAGAGATCCCTGATCACTGAGTGAGAAATTATAACAGTTAGGAATCACCTCTGTATGGTATACATCTGTACATACCCAGCACCCATGATAGCAATATAAACAAGCAGAATTTTAGAGGCATTGTGATTCTTTGCCTCAAAACTTCTAGCAATGGGAACACACCCAGCCATGCATGGCAGAGACACAGATATGAACAGAGAAAAAAAATAACAAAAGGTTACCATGCATTTCAGCATGGCATGTACTAGCTACACATGAGAGAAACAAATCCTCCTCTTTTAGATAATTGCATTACCATGGCTCATGCTTACAGAATTTAAACATCAGGAAAGAATGATTGTCAAATATACATGCAACATGCAGTCACACTTATTAGAAAGATGAATCAAGCCAGGTGACTTGGGAGGCTAGGGTAGATGGATCCTGAATCCTAAACCAGATTAGGCTGCACATTGATACTCAGTTTTAAAAGAGACTGAAAAATATTAAAACAACCAAAGCAAATAAATAAAAACTATAATAAATAAAAATATACAATTTGAATTTTCTGTTACTCAAGGTATTGAATTATTTTCAATTAGTTTTACCCTTCTTTCCTAACATTGTGATACTTTTGCTTTCTTCAGTCTTCAATTTCTTAATAAAATATCCCTCTAATATTACGGAAAAAAATAAACCGCATGGAAAGCTCCTAAATACTTTCCTTAAGTGTCCATGTCCCATTTATTTAATGCTCAAACAACAGCTACAGCATCTAGAGTGTGCTAGGCATTTGCCTAATAGAGCACATTCTCCAGTAAGGCCGAAAGACAAACTACTGTGAGATTAATGGACTTGTGTACCGAGTACTAGGGACGCAAAGGAGATAACACCTTCAGCCCTGGCAATCTGGGCAAATGTTTACAAAGACGTCGCTAAAATTTCAACAAGCATTAAAGATGAATATGAATTCTGACAGCTGGGAGCAGGGAATGGGTACCCCAGGGAAGGAAAAGATGTGCTGCTGAAACCCAAGCACTGAAGCCCACATCTTAAGGAAGAAGTGGGCAAGGGAGAAGGCATAACTTGTGGGGCACAGGCAGCCTGAGAAAATGACTTTGGTGGAGAGAGTTGAAATGTGTTACATGATTTCTTTACAGTAAGTTATTGCTGAAAAGCATCCTACAACCCATACCCTGACCCTTCTCTCTTAATCCATGACTAAACTGAGCCCTACAGAGATTATACTATGTGTTCAAATTAGAAAGCAGTGCGTACATGTCAATTACCAGAGACCTATTGAAATGTGGACATTCTTTGAGATAATGAAAAGGGCAATTAGAGTAAATATTTAATACCCTTTAAGTGTCAGGGAAGATTTTCTAAGGTATTTTGGCAATGGGTTTCATTTATATGTTCATGAATGTATATAAACGATAGCCCCCACACATGATCAAGCATGATTAACTCTATTAATGAAAAAATTACCAAGCTACAGAATCCTATCCATAAATGTAATGTTGTGTTGTTTATATCACATAACTACACATAATATTTTTAAATGACAAATAAACTGTAACTAAAATTTATTTCTATTTCTAGTATTTTATTATCTGGTTTTCATACAAATATTCAAAAATCATTGATAAAACTACTTGAAGATAATTTGGTAGTTACTCAAAATGATTATTAGGGACAAAATAAATTGATACTGAATTAATATGATAATCCATAAAATAAACAAACAATAAAACTATTATTTTTCAGATATTCATTTCAAATTACCTATAATTTATTGATTTCAAGAAGAGTGGAAAATAATTTTAAATGGCTTCTGATCATTTAACTCCTTAGCTATCTCATATAGTAACATTACCATTCTTAAACAGAATACTCCTGTTCATAGAGCCTATTTAAAATTCCAGCCCAAATTAAACGTTAAAGATCAGCATAGGCATTACAACTCTCTTAGTTTGCTTTCTATTGCTGTGATAAACATAAAGACCAGAACCAACTTGTGCGATGAAAACTTTATTGTAGCTTATAGTTTGATAATCATGAAAGGAAGTCAGAGCAAGAAATTAAGAGTTCCTGAAAGCAGGAACTGAAGTACAAACCATGGAGGAACACTTCTTGCTGGCTTGATACTCATGACTTATTCAGATACTTTCTTATACAATCCAGGGCCATTTTCCCAGGAATAGCACTGCCCATAATGGGCTGGACCCTGCAACATCAGTAATTAAGAAAATTGCCCACAGACTTGCCTATAGGCCAGTGTGGTGAAAGGATTTTCTCAATTGAAATTCCTTCTTCCCAGGTCACTCTAGCTTATGTTAACTTGGCAAAAACAAAAACAAAACAAACAAAAAAACATAATTCAAAATACCACACATCATAGAAAAGCACATAGTTTATAATGTACTTCTCCATAATGCTCTATGCTCTTTAGTCCAACTTAAAACATTGGCTGTAGAGTACAGTATCTTCTACTTGAGATTAATTTATTAGCTGTGATTCTTATTTTTTAATCTACCTCCTAAATTTAATAAAAATATGGTTATGAAAATAAATGGTATTGTTTTAATTATCAAATGATAGCGTACAAGAACTCCCACTGGTCTGTTGTCTATCAAATCATTTTGGGAACCCATGCAAATAAATATCTTTCATACATGGTACAAGATGACTGGGAATTCTCTAAACAGCAGTATTGTGAAGGATGGGTGACCGTGCAGGGACCAATGTTTTCAAAACGATCATATTCTTCATGTTCATTTTTTTTTAAAAAAACAAAAAGACAAATCCCTCCAGCAGAAAATAAGACAGGGTATACGTGTGTCTGAGCTGCTCACTTTAACATGCAATGTGGGTGTGTCCTACTAAATTCATTGCTGTTGGACTTCACTGTTATCCATGTTTATTATTTGATCAGTCACCTCTCTCATATTTTTAAAACTTAACAACTTCCAGAATTATATTCATACTTCCTTGGCTAGCAAGTGAATATTTAGTTCCTTAATATAAGCTCTATTTAAAGAAAGTTACTTATTTTTAACACTTACTTCAAGAAATAATCATCTGATTATGGCTTCATCAAACATTTTATGAATGTAAATGTCCACCAAATATTGTTCAAGACATTACAATTTTATTTGAGAGGGAGTCTCATTGTAGCCCAAGGCAGTCTTTGAACTTATTTTGTAGCATGGTCTATCTTCAAACTCTTTTTGTAACCCAAGCTGTCCTAGTACTTACTCTAAATCCGAGGTTGTCCTCAATCCCAAGATTTAACAAATATATTATTTTTTTTTTTTTTTGGTTTTTTCGAGACAGGGTTTCTCTGTGTAGCCCTGGCTGTCCTGGAACTCACTCTGTAGACCAGGCTGGCCTTGAACTCTCGAACTCAGAGATCCACCTGCCTCTGCCTCCCAAGTGATGGGATTAAAGGCGTGCGCCACCACCGCCCGGCTTAACAATATATTATTATTGCCTGGGCCTCATGAATGCTAAGATTTCAGGAATAAGCCACAGAGCCAGTTAATATTGTAGATTGAAAGTACCCCTCCTCTTGGATCTAACAAAATGTACTTTGGTGGTCTGATAAAAGAAAAATTGAGTAAACCTTCCTTACGATCAGAGTAATTATGGGTTTTGACTCATGAGTTTATTAATATATATTAATAAATATTTGTAAAATATTCATTAAGTTTAAAAATTGTCAATTTGAACATTGGCAAATTACATTTAACACACTTGTCCCTGACAAGTGTATCACAGAGGAAAATGTAAGTTTTGTATAATTAGGTAAATATCCTGGTGGACAATGTGCCTTAACTCTTCTGAAGAATATTATTCTGTAATTTCTGATTTCAAAGACATCATAAATATCCATTTTTCTTCCTGATTTCTTGATTTCAGATAGTAATAGGTAAGAAGATAGATGATAGATAGATAGATAGATAGATAGATAGATAGATAGATGATAGATACATAGACAGATAGATAGATAGATGATAGATAGATAGATAGATAGATAGATGATAGATACATAGATAGATAGATGATAGATAGATAGATAGATAGATAGATAGATAGATAGATAGATAGATAGATGGATGATAGAATATATGGATCTATAGATACATACAGACAAGAATTTATTTAGATACTACCTTCCATCAGTTGAATAAAGATACTAGTTGTTGCTGCTGGTGCCACTGCTGTTGTTGTTTTTGAAACAAGTACTCATGTTAGCCCAGTCTGGCACTAAACTTGTCATGCAGGCAAGGATGATGTTAAACTTCTGATCTTCACGCCTCTCCTCCCTAACTCTGTGATGATAGATGCCTACCACTACAGATGGCTTTGTGCAGAGCTAGAGATCAAGCTCACGTCATGATAAGCAAGTGTTATATTGCCTGAGCAACATCTGCTGCCTAGGACACAGATTTGTAGTCACCAGACTGCAAAATGCCACTTTCTAACTCAGGCAGTGCTTAAGCAAAACAAGTTTTATGTAACTATATTCTAGATTATAAGTTTCATAAATATATATATATATATTCCACAATCAAGTGGAATATTCAAGGATATTTTCAACACACGCAACTTAAATTTTCAGTAGTATATTTGAATTTGTAACTAGTTCTTAATCTGAGAATGTAAAGCAGATTTTTAAGACATTACATTTCCCTAATTATCTGTTATAACCTCTTCAGTAATACATTTGTTCTAGCTTAGAATATAATTTTGTTTGATCAACTTCTCTGCATAAATATCCATCATAATATATACTTACTAGTCAGTCATTAATTTTTTCACTTTTACAAAATTACCAAAAGTCTCCTTACTTCCACCCATTCAAAACTCCAAATTGCTGTTAGTAATGGTATCTACTACTGTAGTAGAAAAAATGTTAGCAGTCAAATCTTCTTTCCCCCATCTGCTCAGTTTCGCCTGAGGCAGGTATTAGAGCTTCAGTGTGCACCGAGCTTCAAAGCTCCCTCCCTCCCTCCCTCCCTCCCTCCCGCCCCGGCCCCCTCCCTCCCTCCCTCCCTCCCTCTCTCTCTCTCTCTCTCTGTGCCTGTGTGTATGTTTGTGTGTGTATGCACATGTGTGTAGTACATGTGATATATGATACTTTTTAAGACAAATAAAAGATCAAAGCCACTCGGGTCCCTGGGAATTGCTGGATGACCTTCTAGTTGCTTTGAAATTGGTCTAGTAAATTCTGTTCAAGCTGCTGCACTTCCAGTGGGAATGTTATCAGCTATTACTCCAGTACTTGAACTCTATAACTCTTTATAATGACTTGTTTTACAAGATAAACTTGAAAGTAAATTAGAAATGAGTGAGGTGGATTAGTGTCTTCTGATCCAAAAAGGCTCTAAACTGACACCTCAAAATGATCTGTTACACCACCCAGAAGCCTATGTACCATCTATACAATACAATACAGAAAAACTGAGATATGAGATAATTTCAGAATGAAGAATATAAAAAAAATTAGACTCAAAAATATTAGATTCAGTCAATTCCAGATAAGAAGATGTATGTTCTACTGTTGTGAAGAGACACTTTGACAAAGGCAACTTTGATGAAAGAAAATATTTCATGGAACCTTACTTAACAGTTTCAAAGGTTTAGTCCATTATCGCCATGATGGGGAGCATGGCCACATGCAGGCAAACACAGTGCTGGAAAAGTAGCTAAGAGCTATATTCATAGGCAGAAAGAGACCCTGAGCCTGGGATGGAATTTTTAAACTTCAAATCTCCCCATCCAGTAACACATTCCCCACACAAAGCCATTCTTTATAATCCTTCTTATCCTTTCAAATACTGTCACTCCCTGGTGAGTATGCATTCACATATGAGCCTATGAGGGTAATTCTTACTTAAATCATCACCTCATCAATACCAGCACTGATTTCAAGATAAAATATGTAATTTTAGAAGGAAGAAAAATGAAAGAAAAAGCAAAAATGAAGTGAAATCTTTGCTTTGCTCTGATAGCATGCAGTTAGAATTATAACTAATTGCTGATTTATTACTTATAGAACTTATTTAGGAGAAATACTGAAATATTTGAAATATTGTTAGGCTTAATTGCATTAATTAGTTGATTAAGTTATTGTTTAGTAAATGCTAACATTGGGATAGATATATTTGTGTTTAGGATTAGTGACAAGAAAATCACTACAATCCTAAAGATAATTATTACTAATAAGTGAGATGGGTATGAAAAAACACAGATAAAAAATTAACTGTAAAATCCCTAAAGTTCTCAATTTCATTATAAACATATGTGTGAATGCTACAAATATAGGTATATTGACAATAAATCAGCAAAACAAATATTGATTGTATTTACTTTTCCAATTTTTTCACATTTATATTTAAGAGCACAACTGGTCCCATCATTGAAGAAACTTACATTTTTATAAGCATAGTGAACTGTATTTACATTTAGCTCTATTTAAACAAGGAGTTAGTCATCTCATGTTTTAATGGAATATTTTACTGTTTGACTCTCATCTCAGGTGAAGTTTACCCAAAGATGTACCATATCTGCTTCTTTCTGGTGACATACATGGCACCTCTGTGTCTTATGGTATTGGCTTATCTCCAGATATTCCGTAAACTCTGGTGCCGACAGGTCAGTATTATCAAATAATTTTGTTTGAATCTTCTTTAGAATGTATATAAAAACAAATTTTAAAATTAATTGAATTAATATAACAGATCTAACATAGGATTATTTGTTCTAACATAGTAAGACTCTGGATGTGAAAACATCTCTTGACTGTTTTACTGATATTTAGAAAATGTCTTAAATTCTGCCTCAAGAAGTCTACACTTCTGATAAACTCTCAACCACAATAATTAACTAAGTTATATTTTGTCTGGGAGCAACATTTAAGGATTTTGTTTGCATGTATATCTGCATACTACCTGTACACGGTGTTCTCAGAAGCCAGAAGAAGAAACTAAATACTCTGGAGGGAGTTACAGATAGTTGAGAGCAACCATGTGGATCTGGGAACCAAACCTGGATCCTCAACAACAACAACAACAAAAAACAGCTGCCAGTCCAGGGTTTTCAGCTGCTAAGCCATCTATCCAGACCCTCTCTCCCTCTTCCGTCTCTCCTTCCCTCCCTCCTTCCTTCCTTCCTTCCCTCTTTCCCTCCCTCCTTTCCTCCCTCCCTCCCTCCCTCTTCCCTCTCTCCCTTCTTCCCTCCCTCCCTTCCCTTTCCTTCCTTCCCTTTCCTTTTTTCTTTCTTTCATTATTTATTTATTTATTTGTTTGTTTGTTTTTTTTATCAAATATAGTCTAACAGGAATCAAATTGAAAAAGTAAACTTTAATTGGGAAAATGTTTCCATCAGATTGTCCAGTAGGCAAAAGATCACTGAGTATTTTCTTGACCAATGATTTACTATTGCAAGTGCCATCCCTGAACAGCTGGAATAAGAAATCAGTCTGCACAAGATAGTAGTTCTATTCCTTCCTGACCTCTTCTTCAGTGCCTGCCTCCATACTCATGTTTGATTTCCTGTCCTGACTACCATTCATAATGTACTATAAGATATAAGATAAAATAAACTCCAAAAAATAAAGAAAAAAGAATTGAAGGATTTTAAATTCTAATAAATTTTAAATTAGAAAATGGTAACATCCATGAGATTTCAGTCACTCCAGTGATTTCTTTGTCATATATTAATATTTTTTGTGTACTACCTTTCAAACTAAACCACCAATTCATGTGAGCAGTAATTTAAGGCTATAGAAGAGATATAATCAGGTACACAGTGAAAACAACTTTTTAATACAAGTACAGAATCCTAGAGCTGAGTGAGGCGGGGTCTCTAAACTCAGGATGGGAACTTCTAAGTTGAATCTTGATAACTTGAAAAAAATCAGCAAGTGTGAACTGTAAATATCCCGAGTGGATATAGCTCATCTAATGTTGTTTAGTAAATTATATAACATGATAAGGATGTTTTTTTTCTTATTTCTCTATAACATTGGCCAGTACAGTGATTTATTTGATTTTAAGCTTGTGGACTAACAGGTTGGCCTCTTTTGTCTAAAAATTTGTATTGAGAAAGAACTTACTGAGACCGTCTTAATTAATTAAAGGCAATTCCATTTGTTTTCTTATTAAGAAATATTTCTATTATATGTGAATTTCATATATTTATTCAATATCCAATGTATTTTAATCATGTTTACCTATGACTCGACTCCTCTCTCTTACTCCTCCCAGAACTTTGGATCTTGCAAAGTCTGATCCTCTTTTTATTTTTATCTTTTTTATGATCAACTGTGTCAGTTTTGTGCTTCTCATGGACTCATGGACTTGAGTACATCCAATGAAGCAAGAGCCACACACTCAAAGAAAATTGATTTCTCCATCCTCCACCCCTACTAATCACCCACCAACCTTACAGCCTTTCAGATAGACCCTGGGCCCCTCCTACCTGCATAATGGAATGTTGATTGGCTTGATCTTGTGTATGTCTTATATAGGCCACCGTAGCTGCTGTGAATTCATGAATATAGTGGACCCATCACTTCCAGAAGATGCTATTTGCTCCCATTTTTTCCCTACATCTGGGAAATCTCTTCATTCCAGTTCCTCTTCCATGTGTCTGTGAATTGTGAGAGTAGAGTGTGTGTGATGAATATGTCCTATTCGTGACTGAATATTCCACAGGTACTGGGCACTTTAGCTAGTTGCGACTTTCTGCATTAACTGCCATTCACAACAAAAGAAAAACTACTCTGTAAAGGTGGGAGACCTACACTAATCTTTGGTTGTAGAGACAGATATATTGTATTCAAGGTCATACTCCATAAGTTTCCTTTTCTAGAAATACCATACCTGATATTATAAACCTTGGCAAGATTCCAGGGCTAGGCAGCTCAGAAAAGGATAAATCAACAACTATCATTTTGCTAAAATTTCTCCTTAAATTCTAATCAGAAAGTGGTTGGGTATCCACATAACACTCTTGCCATTGTGGCACTCATGATTGTATCTTGAAATACCTGCCTTTATTGTAGCTCAGAGGGTCATAGCTGAGTAAGGACTGGTGATGACTTTTCTCCCCCAGTACCTTCATAGCATCTTCTGATGCTATAAAAACTAGCTAACAGAATGGAACTTTCTCCCTCAACACCACCTTTATTTCTCCATTTCAAAGTGTATAGCATTGTCATCATCAGTGTCTTACCATCATAATCTGTAGGACACAACAGCAAAGCAATAGCAATTGCTTTGGGTATTCTACAAGACTCCTCTGCCTAATAATTCAATAGTTGGCAATAGGCTTTTTATTTTGCAATTTACAGCTTCTGGGAGGATTATCCCTGTGTAACTCCAAATAAAACATTAAACTCTTACATGAATATATCTATACACAGGCATATAATTTACTATGCATATAATATATATGCTTATAAAATAGTAAATTACTAAAATGCCCCATTTGGTTTTTGAGGATGAGTCTTCATTTGTATTTTCTTCAGTCCTTGGTATTCAAACCATCTTTTCAAGACCATCTTTCACTAATTGGAAACAAACAACTTTTACAGTTTCTAGGCATATATGTTGTATAAGTCCTAATTTTTCTGTTTTCTTCTATTTTTACAAGGTAAGATTTTTTTAAACCATATACTTTATAGAGAGTTATTGTCATTTTTTGTATACTAGTGTATTAGCAACAATAATTTGAGGCATAACAGAATTGAATACATTAGATCTGTATTTTATACTAAATTTTATTCATAAATCAATCTGTAATCACTACTTTGCCAGCCAGACTAGCCAGATCAGAGAGCTTCCCATTCAGTGAGAGATGCTGTCTCAAGCCAATCAGGCAACAGATCAAGTAAGTCACCCAACACCCTTCTTGCTCTGGCCTCTTTTTGAGCACACAGAGGACTTGCACGCTTAAAACTCCAAACACTGAGGACACTAGAAATGAAATTGTCAAGGCCAAAAATATTCCTAAAGCATGAGTTTTGTAAAGTGTAGATATTCATGTTATGTGCTAAAATGCATGTTACTGGCTAAGTTTTAAATAAATAAACTCTAAATAATAATCTATGAGTTCTTTGAGCATAGAGTAAGCTACTGAATATAAACGGGCACACAAACACAAGGTAAGATTTTTAATGATTCCTTTCATTATATCTATATATAGTCATATATTTACATGCATATATATATATATATATGTATATATATCTTATACAACTTCTGTGACCTTTTTGTGTCCAGTAGTGAAGTCAAGTCACATACTGTTCTCCAAATCTTTTAATCAAAACAAAGAAAGACAATGAGCACAAACACTGTAAGACATGAGCAGTGATGTGTTTAATTCTCAGCAACTGTTTTCTGATTTTCTATCTGTCCTAAAGACAATGCCACTTACTCTAGGATGTTTTGTTTTTGTAACACCCCATTTCCTCGTGTGTGCTATTGCATCAGCTTTTACTAAGTTATATACCATCCAAGATGTATACTGTTCTCAGCAACGGTTATGTCTCACTCCTGTCTCATGTCAATGCTGGGCTCTAGCTACAGTTCCACCAGTCTATGTGAGTGACGCTTTCTGGGACATGGCATTCTGGGTATCATACTAAAGACGGAAGTGCTGGAAAAAATATCCACCACCATTCGGAATTTCTGTTACGAGCTTACATTTTGTAATCTTCCATTGCCCCCCAAAGTCAGATGTTTCAGTATTCTCTGACAAAAGGCACAAATCACAGAGCCATAAGGATATTCTCACAAGCTGAAAGTAGATGATGTGGAATATCACAGCATGAAAATGCAAAAATGCAGACATGGGCAAGAATGTAAGAGTTTAAACTCAGAGCATGTTACTTGGTAGTTGCACAAAGTTTCCCAATAATTCCTGTGACTTCGATCATCATTTTTTTTAATTCAATTGTATGTGTATGTATGGGGATTATGTGTGTACAGTGCCTGTGGGAACCAAAAGAGGGCACTATATATCTTGGGTAGGAGTTACTGGGATAGGAGTTACAGAAGATTGTCGGCTACCACATGTGTGCTCTGGGAGAGCAACCAGTGTTCTTAGCCACCCAGTCACATATCCAGCCTCATTTTCATCATGTTTACATTAGGGGTGTACAGCTCACAAAATCATACCATGTTTTAAGTGTACATTGAATATCTGAGGATCAAATTAAACATCAAGATATACTATTGTGTAGTTTCACATACATTTGCATATTCACTTGCTTAAAAAAGTAATACACTGTTAAAACTCTAAGGTGTGATACATAATTTGTCTTGCTATCATGTTGACAACTGCTACCTTTTACCTTACACAAAGAAAGGACTTTAAAAATGTTCTTTAATGTATAAATGACTCTTGAACCATAAACAATGTGCTTTTTTATTATTTAAATGTATATTTCTCAATTTCCAAACCTTTAAAATAGGTTCAAAATGTATTACAGGCTTAGAAATGATCTACAATTTTTGACAAAACGTCTTACTTAGTGCTATCCACATGATTCACAAGATTTGCAGTGAATTGCCTGAACTGTGAAACTAAAACATTTTAGAAGCAGATTGGAATGGAAATTGGCAAGTTGAGCTGAGCCCACTTTACAG